GCATTCTTACTGAGACTAGAACTCATAGGGACGAAAATAGATTTATGGATGAAATCAAATATGCAGTATTTAAAGACAAAAGTATTTAAAGGAAATTAAGCTCAAATGAAGTCAAAGACATATATGAGAATGATAGGTTGATAAATAATGCTTGATTAGGGTTGAGACAAACTTGTCTCAACTCAGCCCTTGTGATAAGTCATAGTCAGTTGATTTTGAACTCATTCTTTGACTAGGACTTTAGAGGATTATACTTGAACAAGTTCGTGGCACTGAAATTGGGGCGCCATATGGGTAGCACTGGGACTACAATGTCCCATAATTTCACCCGAAAAGCGATGCTAGGGCACCACATAGCTCGCAATGCCAATCTTCTGCAATTGTTTCTCTTCTGTTTCATTCCAATTCACGATCTTATCAACTTTAGCTCCATTTTAAGTTCCAAAACTCATTGTTTCACCAAATCACCTAACCTATAAAATAACATGATCCAACATATCAAAAAATTCTAAAACTATAAAAGACAAACATAATATCAAGATTAAGTGGCATCGAAAATATGAGTGATTTACATACACTCATCAAACAGCCTCCCAACATAATATTTTACCAGTACTCGAGCAAACAAAAAGAAAAGACTTAGCATACAAACAAAATTATAACACGTAAAATAAGTTCAGATAGCTCGTGCTTTTATATCTCAGGAACTCCTAACCTTAATAGTCAAATATATTATTTCATCGCTTGTGGGATTCACACACTCCAAACTTATTTTCTTTTACTCTTTTTCTGAACCCCCAAAAATTTTTTTATTCTTTTTTGAAAGGGTATTCTAAGGTTTTTTTTTTTTTTTAAATTACTACTTATTGTGGGGGCTTAGATAACTAGAGGGTTTGAATTGCTTAATATAAGCTTGAATGCCCTAGCACTCAATTCAATCAAAATTGCACATTTATTTGCTTATTTTGATATATTCATAGCTCATGATCCCCTTCTTGACCCTTGTAACGAACGTTCTTTTAGTCGATAACTTCCCAACGAAAGTACTAACTCAACTTAAGAACTTAACAAGTGCAATGCCGTTTTTTCTCTTCTTCCAGGGCAAATTTAAACTGGGCTTAGATCCCTAGCATATCCATTATATCATAATTGATAGTTAAAGACACTCCACACATATATTTTCTTTCTAATCAAGCATGGAATCAACACAAGTCTAGTGATTCTCTTTTAGTGGCTCGACCATTCCAAATTATACTATAAATGGTGTTAAGGTTTTAATATGTAAAAGTTTTAAGTGATTGAGAATCAAGTCTTCTATTTCAACCTAGGTTATGTGAATAAACCTATTTATGTACAAAGCTAAACTCAGTTCTCCTGCATAAGTATCATCACATTTCACAAGGATAAGCAAGAATTTACTCAAACACATAATTGAATTATAATCTATAAAATGGCACAAATTTTCAAGTATATTTATTGATTCCAATGAAGACATCATATGTCTTGGCTGGGCAGAGCTGGAGTGTACAAATGGTATGGGAACAACAGTGATTATGGAAAAGTACAATTAGAGTGGGTGGAAGCCAATAGCGAGTTAAATTCATTCTAATATTGCATTTCCTCCAATGTGTCATTGTGCCATTGTGTCATATGCAATACATGGCTTAAAGCTGACCGGTGGAGGTGGAGGAGGTGCCTGAGAAGGTTGAGGTACACTAGTTGAGCCCTTGATGAATCATGAACAAGTTTTCCAAACATTTGAGTAACCACGTTGAATTGCGTAATTAAATATTGTCTTTTCCTTGGCCACTTCACTTATCTTGCACTCTAAAATCATAACTAATGTGGGAAAGTTAGCCACATCTATAGATGACCGTTTCCATTCATTTGCCAACACTTTGAATATCTTGTCGGGGTCAATACTTTCTTCTATGTAATCCACCGCAAACCCAAAATCAACAATCAATATCCACCACAAAACCAAAATCCAAACACCCAACTTATCCATCAACTGCCAACAATAATTACCAACAATTTGAAGGAAAATATGTTTGGGTTCGAGTTAAGGGTAAATGTTGGGGGGCCAAATATTTGATGAACTTGGTTATGGTTTGTATTTTTGTAGGGATGGAAGGATTTAAGTTTGAGAAGAGAAGACTTGAAGGTTGATGGTAGAAAATTTGAAAAGAGTGATGCAATTTTGGAGGAGATAAGGGGAATTTTTAGGGGTTCTTCTCGTGAGAGAGGGGAAAGAAGAGAACATCATTTGAGGTGGGATTTGGGGGGGTTTTTCTATTAAAAAAATGGGGGAGGGAGATAGAGTGTGTATTGAGTATTTGGCTTTGCGGCATTTCTTAGTTGGCTCTACTTCTCTCATCATTATTAACATACATACATACATACATACATACATATATATATATATATATATATATATAATTTTTTTTTTTTTTAAACCCATCATGCCTTCATCCCCAAACTTGAGATTTGAAACATACAATCAAAAGAAAAGTGTTAAGATCAATACAAAAGTGTTGAAACTAAAATTTAAATAGTTGCCTCCCAAGAAGCGCTTATCATCATTAGCTTGACGTTGATGTGGTTCTAGGTTGATTCTCAAAGAGAGATTTCTTCCACAACAATGCTTCAATCTTTGACCATAATCTACTTTGCTCGACAATTTCAACACTCCAAAAGGAAACACTTTATAAACGATAAATGGTCCCAACCAACGTGATTTAAGCTTTCATGGGAAAAGCTTCAAGCGAAAATTGAAGAGCACTTCTCCTCACTTGAATTCTCTCCTTAAGATCATCTTGTCATGCCACTTCTTAGTTTATTCCTTGTTTCGAAACTCCTCTTGTTTATCAAGTTGAAGACGACGATTTGGACCTATTTTCATAACAAAGTTCAGTTTTTTCATAGCCCAGTAGGCTCGATGCTCTAATTGCACCATTAAGTGACATGCTTTTCTAAATAGCAACTGCTATTGTGACATTCCAATTGATGTTTTGAATGTCATTCGGTATACCCATAATATCTTATCTAGCTCCTAATAGTTTATTGTTTACTATCTTCTCCAAAATTTGTTTTACCTTCCCGTTGGAGGTCTCTGTTTACCGATTTGATTGGGGATGATAGCCAAGTGTCAACTAATACTTTGCTTGTAGAAATTTGAAAAGATATTTTTCTTTATAAATTTCAAGATAACTTTTGTATCGTTTGTTGGTGTGTAAACAAAAGCTTCTACCCACACTTTGAAACATAGTCCACAACAAGTAGAATATACACTTGGCCAAAGGAATATGGGAAAGGACCCATGAAGTCTATTCTCCTAAGAATTTCTTCTTTTGGCATCTTCCCACAGGCCAAGTAATTAACAAAATTAGCATACCATGTGAGTTTCTGTGAAACTGGTAAGAAGAGTCAGTCTCTTGGATTTGACTTTTATCATTCACTTTTTCATTCTCTAGCCACACAAGATGATCGACCACTACATTTTTAATGCATTTCTTGTGCCAAATCTCTACATCAAACTCTTCTAGCAACAAGATCCACAAAATTAAATGAGGTTTTGTATCCTTCTTCGCAAAAAAATATAGGATTGCTGCATGTGTGTAGATTATCACCTTGGTGCTAATGAGATAGTGACGAAATTTATGGCAAGCATAGACCACCATTAACATCTCTTTTTCCATTGTGGTGTAATTAAGTTAAGCTCCATTCAGAGTTTTCCTAGCATAGTAAATGGCTCAAAAGATTCTTACTTATCAAATCGTTGTCCGAGTATTGTTCCAACTATATGATCTCTGGCATCATATGACCTAAAGTGGTTGACTCCAATCCATCATAACTGGGGCAGTAATCAACTTCTCCTTGATTATATCAAATGTCTTGAAATTCTTCATCAAACACGAAGATAGTATATCTTTCTCTAGAAAGTTGCATAGCTTTGAGAAATCTTTAATGAACCTCATAGGGAACTCAGTATGTCCTAAGAAACTTTGAATTCTGTCATATCAATCTTCGCTCTGTCAACTTCCAATCTCTTAGATTTTCATAGTGGCTTAGCACACTCCCCTCTTTTACCATGAAATGACATTTCTCTCAGTTAATAACTATTTTTTTTTTACTTGACAACTTATAACACCGAAGAGAGGTTGTGAAGGTAATCATCAAAAGATATATCAATAATAGAGAAGCTATTTCCTCTACCATGTCTACAAATCATGAATCTCTAAAGAGTAGCTGGGCATTACATAAACCAGAAGGCATAAGTCGAAAAGTAAAAAGTTAAGGGCAAGTGGAAGTAGTCTTTTCTTGATCAGTGAACGGGAGTAAAAAGATATTTTCTTGTTGCTTTGTTTAACATCTTGCTGTCAATACAAACCCTCCAACTTGTTACAGTTCTTGTAGGAATCAACTCATTGTTGTCGTTCTTGACCACGGTCTAAAACTAGTAAATACAACACTTTAGCTATTTTTCCTTTTCATCTTTGGTAAGTGATGAAGATTTAGTCACCAGCGAAGTAGAATCCTCATACAAAAAAATGCATAACGAAGTTGGTCTTTCTTAAACTCATATTCAATACTTACAATCCTCTTAGCCTCATCAAGACTAATAGGCAACTAAATATCCTCAATCTGTGATGGATTACTTTTAATTGGAAAAGCTTCAAGAGCCAATATACAATCAACCTAGTCTTTGCTCTTTTATATAACCTCCAACAGTAGTAATGTCTTCTTTTGTTGCACTAATCACCATACTATACTCTAATGGACATCAAAGACCTCTTCTATTGCTTTAACACAGAATCAAGTGAAGTTAATTCAAGTATTGGTGTCTTTTTATGAAATTTCATGGCCATAGATGTTGAAATAACTTCTTCTTCATTGATGAGCAATGTCAACTAAGAGTGTTGACTAACGGTTGATTTTACGTTTTGATTATAACAAACAAATTACTTTTATCTCTAACAATTGAATTCAAATCTTTATAGCTATTGTGGCAAACTTGATCAATTGAAGACAAAAAGGTCGTTATCAAAAGAATCGCAAATTGGCACCCAATGAAAATCAAGATGGACGCCGAGCATGGATGCCAAATCAATCAATACACCTCATCAAGTTAAACATCGAAGATATTATTTGAATTCAAGTGTAAAGGTAAAATACTTTAATTGTTAGCAATGAATCATTCAAAACTCAAGAAGAATCTTTATGCATGAGAAATAATTATTTTATAATGATACTATCTAAAAGTTAATTTTCAAGAGGTAAGAATCTCAGCTTGATATTTAAACTTCTCATATATGTCACTTATCTTGAAAAATAAAGTGAGAATGCCTTCAAAAGACCACATTTTTCAAAACGATCAAAGAAGGAAAAATCAAGGAAAATTCTGTCTAAGCGAGCGTCTGATTTATCCAACAATCCAATTTTTAACCGTTTTGAATTCTAACGGCTAGTTCGGTATTAAATGGTCTCATTGAGTCGTCCAATTGGTCAGAAACTTTGCTTTTTAACTGCTACAAATACCACATCACTTTGCATTCATTTTAACACTGTTGAGAGCATTAAAGTTTGATACTCTTGAGCCAAATTATTGAATACACACCTAATTTATTTTTATCAAATCATTTATTTATTGAAAAATATTTGGTTGAATTAACATATTTCTCTCTTGGTACTCAATTTTGATTATATCATTTCTTGAAAGAGAAGTTTCAAATTGTAAAATTATTACCCTTTGAATTTGTGGGTCATATAGAGGCCCCGTAAAATTCTATATTGAATAAGGATTGGTGCTCCTTTGATTAGTCATCAGAAGTATTGTAAAGATTGGATTGCACCATATGTCAATATATATAGTGAAAAAGACCTTTTCATGACGTAGAGTTTGGTAACGGAGGACGTAGATCATTGGTTGAGATTGAACCTCCACAATTATATTGTTTGTGCTCTCTTTCTTTTTACTTATTAATTTTGTACATAATTATTTCATAGATTTATTTGCTATCAAATTTGTTTAAATTTGAATTTATTATCAAAAAAGTTTTTAACAACCAATTCACCCTACTCTTAGTTAGCTATTTTTGGGTTATCAAAGAGCTCTACCGATTTTCAAGTATCAATGGAATCTACTAATTTTCTTCCATTTCCAATATTAAACAATTAGCTGGAAAGATGAATTCATCAACTTTCACCAATACATACATCTTCAATGATCACTCGTGGGTATGTAAGGGATCTATCAACTAGCTGCAAAATGACTGTTGTTGGCTTTACTTTATCGAGACTCAACTTCTTGAATACTGTATAAGGATATCAGATTGATGCTAGGTCTAATATCATAGAGTGCTTTATTGAAGGAAAAACTACCTATTGTGCAAGAAATAGTGAAGCTTCCAAGATCTTTCAATTTCTAAGGGAGCTTCTTTTAGGGAATAACACTACATTTCTTTGTCAATCTCACTATTTCATATTCCTTTAACTTAATCTTCTTTGACATCAAATCTTTCATAAATTTGACATAGTTTGACATCAGTTCTATGACATCGACAGATAAGATATTAATGTGGATTTTCTTAAAAATATCCAAAGACTTGGCAAACTATGCATTCTTCTAAAATCTGTGTGGAAACAAAATGTTGATTTGATGATTTGATTATTAGAGAATAAGATAAAATTATGCTTAGGAGCCTTATTGGTTTTCTCTTCCTACATCTCCTGTATTGCAATAGTATTTTCTTCCTTAATAAAGTGTAAAAATCGATCCCTCTATAAGCATGCTCTCTCCAACTTCTTTATTGCTTCTTAATGTGATAGCCTTGCAATGCTCCTACGGGTTTACCTTTGTATCGCCTAGAAACTTTCGGTTCGATTGAGAATTTATTGATGTAGCCAACTGACCAATCTACACCTCAAGATTCTTCATTGTAGCTCCCATATTGGTTATATGAGTCTCAATATTGTCTAAATGAGAATCATCTTTGTTGCATCTCGACCATATCTCCGAAATAAAAGTTTCCAAGATGTTTTCTAATGATGGTTTCCCTTTAGAAGGTATCATATCGAGCCAAATCCCTCCCAAGTAGTGATAGATCTATTCGACAATGATTGAAATCATACTTTTTTGCTTTATCCCTTAAGGAGAAGGAAAACAAATGCAGTCTAATTGCGTCTTTAATGCCTTTCATTTTCATGGTATCACAAATCTCCAGAAAAGAAGCCAGGTGAGCATTAGGATTATCTAGTGAAGATACTTAAACTGATTCTGTACACCATTCTGGCTTCAATTCAAAGTTGTTTGTAGCTGTCTGGCGTGTAATATTGGAGTAGTTGTCATGTTGTCATTGACAATTAATTTGATAGTCCAAAATAGCCCGCTATTGATTATTTTCATTCGCTGCCCATTTTGCCATTACTTCAAGTTCATTTTTTCTTATACCCTTTAAAAATCAAAAAGTTCTTTCAATCTCAGGACTAAAAACTCTTACTGCATTACGAATAGATGAAATAGCATGGCTTATTTCTTTCAAGCCATCACAAACAATAAGATTCTCAATATGAGCACAAAAATTCATATGAAGCATTTATCTGTCCATTACTAGATCGTTCTTCTTTTCCTCAAAACAACTCTTCAATTTCAATAATACTACATCATTGGATAAGGCATTATAAACAAACACATAAAAAATCTTATTGATTTCCCAATCATTAAGACAAGAAATCAACTCATATCCTACCATACGTCCTTTATGGCTTGGGACTTAAATGAAACTTATAGTCCTTTTCAGTCTCCAATCATTATCAATCCAATAAGCAGTTAAAGAAAAATAATTAATAGTTTGTATCAACATCCAACAATCAGTAGTCAAACAAACTCAGATAATATTTCTTTAAGGAATTACAAATTTTGGGAAAAAGATTCCTTGTATAGCACTATTGAAATAATCATAGAAAGTAAATTAGTTTCATTATTATTGGTTAATGATTTAATAAGTTCACAACGCATGTCCTCACCTGATATCTAAACTAAACTAAAATTATTCCAAAATCATATGAAAATGGGAAAAAAAAACATATATTTTCAACCATCCGAATCATAATTCAACAAAATTACGTTAGCAAATCACGTACAAAGTTTCAGAAGCCCTAACATAAACTCTCATTTGACTCTTGTTTGCCATTGCTGAACGAATCACCAATCTCCTTTGCCTGTTAATATGCTAAATCTACCTAAACACCTCTTTTTCTCTACTCTTTCGATAAGTCTCAGATTCTCATTTTAAGTCATTTTTTGTTGTTCTTTCTTTTATTTGTTGTTTTTGAACTTATTATATGCTTGTGAATTGTAGTTTGGATAGAAAAATAATTGTTTATGTGCCAAGATGATTAATGAACTTGTTTGTTGTTTGGAAAGAACGAAGGACGGATCGTATTGATTGTGTAAAAATGTTAAAGTTTTCTAATTAGTACTACTACCTTCTACTTTCATAAAGTAATTAAAGAGTGGAATTCGTCAATTCACAATAAGTCAATACTCTATCAATTTTTGTACATCTAAATATATCCGATTCAATTCTTATTTATCATCTCATTGGCAAGACGAAATGAGTTTTAACCAAAAAATAATAGGAGAATGTAATTTTATCTTTACCAATTACTATATGGCAATATGAATGTCAAACAAGAAAAGGTAAATAAAATTGAACAAATATATATTTGTTCTATTAACATCTTTTAACAACCAACTTTGAAAATAATTTATTCATGGGTTTCATTGTAAATATGAATGTAATTTAACATTTAACATTATTAGTTCTTGTTTAAACTTATATGTTAACTTATATTAAATATATTACTATAATGTCGATAGGCAAATTGCAGATTAAAACCGAACAAAATCGTAAATTATGGTTTGGTTTGGTATGGTTTGGTTTGATTCGAAAAATAAAATCGTTTGGTTTGGTTTGAAAAAATTTCAAACCACATAAAATAATTTGAGTTAAAAATATAACATAAACCGCCCAAACCGAACTGCGTTCACCCCTGGCCAATGATGCAATTCTGGAAGAGGATGGCCCTAAAGATATGAAAGTGGATGAGAAAGGCAAGAAGGCAAATAAAAGGTCCGAGGTGTGCGATCATTTTAAAATTTGAGTAGATGAGAAGTATAAGCATCATTTTGAATCACATCACGCAGTTGTGCAAAAAGTATCCGTACAAGACAAAAAGCAAAAGAAAATGACTGGCTATAGTACGTATAAAATTTGTGAACTTTCTAAGGGTATAAGAACCTATCAAGTTTGTTCAGAAAAAGCTTAGAGAACAAATTACAAGTTACTCATATTGTTTGAGTTACCTTTTCGGCAGGTAAAAGATGAAGGTTTTCAATTATACAAGATATTTTTCCAAAATTTATATTTCCTTCAAGGATGACAATGTCATATAAGATATTTTTCCTAAAATTCACAGAGTTTGTGTGACTACTGATTGTTGGACATCGATAAAAAATGTTAGTTATGTGATTTATGATTATTGCTTAGGTTAAGAGTTGCTCGACTCTATGTTTAAGTTACTGTAATATGCAATCAATTGACTACTCTATTTTCTAACCATGAATGTTTGTTTGCTTTTGCTAATAAAGGGCTGTTGGCTTATTTTGGGGTGTCGGGCCGAGCCCAAGCCGGCCCATGTGGCTTGAAAAAAAAAACGTAAGGCAATTGGCTGCTACCTTTGTAAAGGCAATCTAGCGCCTTTAAACAAAGGTAGCCAGCTGCCTTTTAAAGGGAAAAAAAAAAGGAGAAAAAGAAAAAAAATTGAATCGGCTCGGCTCGACCCGAAAAAAGCTCGTCTTCAAAAAGCTTGAGCAGAACCCGAGCCTTGATTTTCGGCTCTCGACCGGGCTCGGCTCGTTGTCATCCGTAACTTAAACCATTCTAACATTACAATCAACAAATACATTGATCAAAGGTCCACCGTACCCACAGATGAAATGTGATTTTCCATTATGATTTACAATAAAACTCCTACAGATACAAAAGCATGGTGGTGAAGTCCATGATCTTCACCCCTTAGTCCATGAAAGCCTCCTTTGAGCCTCAGATTATACCCAAACATTAGCCCAACAACCCTACAGCCAAATAGTCCCTACAAAACGTGGCTACATTCACCAACCAATTTTTCTTCAAATTCCTCCATGAATGACAGTGTCAATGAACTTGTTGCAAATTTAATACTAGAATATTTATATTGTAGTGTACCTATCAAAAGAAGTATTTATATTGAAGTACAAACTTAATGTTGGAATAATCGGTCTATATTAAATTGATAAAGGCAAAGAGTAATGGATCGAATTGGGGTAAAAATTCAAATAAATAAAAATGTCCTCAAATATCATCGAACACAAATCATAAAAATTATCAACACAAATATTCGAAGTGAAGCAGCAAGTTCAACGGATAGACACAAATATTCGTTATTGTCCTTGACAAGAAAATAACTATCAAAACAAAAATTACCCACTGGAACGGAATGGGATGACTATGTGAAACCAACAATTATATATATTGTGAGATATTGTAGCTCTATTCCAGAAGGTTGGCGTTGCCCCTTGTCACTTGATCCGAGAAAC